TCTTCTCTTGAGATTTTTATTTTCCATTTAACCTTAAGAGTAAGACACCTGAAGACTGAAAAAAAGAACCAGCTAAATCTAATCTTTCAAGTAGTGGGTTAACTTTGCTGATGAATTATGCAATACGTTTGCCATTTTCTTCAGGATTAACTTTAAAATGGGGTTAAGTTAATGCCAAAAATCTACAGCGGCAGGAACAACATTCAGCATATTCAGTATAACTTCACAGGTTTCTAAAACTGATTACTGGGCAAAAAAGATGAATGGATTGAAAAAGAAAATGTGTCATAGAGGCACTTATGATTTCACAACACATTCTTTGAAGCTGTTTTATGAGCAGCTTTCTTCGCTGGGCAATAACTTCCAGGTAGATTATAAAACTAGGACAGTCTGCACATTTCAATCTTACCTTTTCATTTTTATGTTTAGCACTTCTTCATATACCTGATGCTAATTAAAGTCTACTGTATTTAAAGCTTTTATACAGGACAAATTTTGAGCTGACAATGACTTAAACTGTTCCAGTTTTTTCCCAGTGTGACAGAGCTGTCATGCAAGTTAATTAATTTTGGTTTTTTTCACAAAGTGCATGAATTAAAGAAAGGGAACTTTCTGACTCCTCCCAGCTAATGTCTTGAGACTTGAATTTTCTTGGATCTGGAACAAACACACATAGCGTTCTGTTGACATCAATTCACCAAAATCACAGAACATTCAGCCTGAACTTTAGATCAGTTCATGTTTTTGCTATTTTTGTCAACAGAACCCTCTTTATCTTTGTGTGGCTGGCTTGATGCACGTCGGTAATTAAGGTGTTTACTCTGACAGAAATTAGTTGATACTCTGAATAAATGCAGTTATTTAAAGCTTTGTTTAATTTGGCCTTTCTGGTTATTCAGGTTTGCAGTCTCTTGTTTTCTCACAGCAAGCTTTGCTGATTCATTCTGACAAGGATCATAATTCTCTGTTTGTTTAGGATTATATTTATTTAAACATTTATTTATTTCCCTTAATCTGAGCTCAAATTGCAATGGACTTCTAACGCAATAGATTTCCCAAGTTAAAGTCCCAGAAATAAAGGACTTTAACTCCCCCCTAGTGCTATTGGTGGAAAAATACATATTTCTCTTTGAAGGGTGGCAGCTTGAATCCTGAATCTCGTTATATGACCCCATGTGAGGGTCATATTGCATTTTCATGTCGTATAAAGTCACTGAGATTACAGATTTTGTGAGGATTCAGAATATTTAGCCTGGATTACTGATTTAATTTAACTACACAACTAGATTTCCAAATAGCTTTAACAATGCAAGATAATTACCTGAATTCCCCCTTTGCTGGACAATAAAGGATGTTGGATACATTTTTAGTCAAACTTGATTTCTGCACTGAGATAACTTGGCTTGAATCAACACAGGCTAAGCTATTTTACTATTGCTCTGATCAAGCATTGTAAATGCTATTAATAAATGTATTACATTTGATGGTTATAAGTTCTTTCAGTTTTATATCCTAAACTGTGACACAAAGTGAGTGATGGAAACAATGCAGTGCATGTAGAGTAATCATTTCCCCAAGAGGAACTGGTTCCAACCAGGTTGTTTGGTGTTTGTGCACGAGTTGACTGGCGCTTTCATGAGGATCTTGGTTTATTTAGAGTAAAAGACATCAATACAGCATTGCTGACTGGACAGCTTTCTCAGCTAAAGATAATGTTATTTTGTAAGATATGTGCCTGAGCAAAAAGAAAAACAAATGATGAAATGGATGTAATCTTTCAATGGAAAGTAGCACCAGTCTTCATTTAGGTATTTTGTGGTTACCAATTTATTTTTAAGTAGAATAAGGGAAAAAAATTAGGTAAAGTTTGACAAAAACAAGGTCTTAGTCATTCATTCAATGGTGTGTTCATCCACACACAAAATAAAAATCTAAAGATTTTTTGTATTTTCTCCTGCAGCATAAATTTGAAATCACATTACACTGCATTTCTAAAGAACCACGTTGAATCCCAGACGGCAGGTTATTCACATAAATGTAGAGGAAGAAAGTCATTTTTCCCTGAGTTTAGGTATTCTACAAAATCTATTGATAATCTTATGTAGCAGTTGTTTAATTAAGGGAAACAGTTTGCCCAGTTTCATCAGTGAAAGGAGAAGGTTTGTTTTTAGTTCAGACGATCAAAAGAATATTTATTAAAAAACAAACGCATCCTTACTGTTGGACTAAAATAGCCTTGTGTGTAGACGCTTTGGCACAGTAACGTGTGGTACAAATCTAATGAGGCAAACTTTTCATAAAACATCAAGGGAAGTAAGAAATATTTTTATTTTGCATATTTCTTTCCAGCTGGTCATTTGAAAATGAGCAGCTGAAAACTGATAATAGTATTAGCTATATTTACTTCTAAATCTCATATAAAAATTAGTTTCAAAAGTAAAGAAAAAGTAAAAAAAAAAAAAAAGTTCTGTTTGGTGACAGGATTTATCAATTATTTTCTGCCGCTGACTGGTTTGTACTGGTTGCCTTCACAGCTTTGGTTCCTTTGATTAGGTCATCAGACGCATTTCACTATTGCTTTTCCCCCTGGAAAAACTGGTTTTCCTGTTTCAACCAGTGAAACACAAGGCCTGTCTTAACATCTTCAGCAGATGCATCCTGTCTGCAGAGTTCTTGTATTCTTCACACAGAGCCTAATTCCCAAATCCCATTTCAGCCCATTGTATTCATCAAAGGAGCAGGAGTCGCCAGTTTCTACTCACCATCTGTATTGTTACAGATGGTTTCAGTCCAACCTCTTTCCATTTTGTACCTAAATACTTCAACTACTTTATATATATAGATATAGATATATAGATTTATATCTATATAGATGTATATCTATATATATACACACACAGAGGGAGAGTGCTAACTAGCCTTAGCTTTCACTGCAGCAGCGCAATGAGGGAGGAAGAATGAGCAGCTCCACATGAGATTGTGATTGACAGCACCAACTTTTTTTATTTTTTTATTTTTTTTACAACAAATAACTGAAAAAATATTTCTTACAAAAGTTTAATGATAACATCAGAAACATGGTGTTGGGCAGGATCAGGTCCTCCATGTTGGCTGTCACATGCTTCTCCTCCTGCTCTGCTTGAATATGACTTTAAAACTTCTTAAGTTGTTTGGTTAAATCACAAGAACTCCACTGGTTTTTAAAATAAAATAGCTGACTTGGTCTTCTCATGAGGTAGTGATGCTGCATGGCCCAGTACTAAAACAGCCATGTCCCAGCACTGATGCATTTCCCAGTGGTTCAGGACCCATTCAGTGTTATGTCATCATACAATTTGATGTGCTCTACTATAACATGAGACTGAGACTCTACTGGTTTTAAGTGCATTACAAGTATTTATCACACTATGATAAATACTTGTGCTTGGTGTTTTTCATCTGCGTTACCGGAGTGACGGCAGCAAAAGAGGAAAAACAGACAAAAGTGTCGCAGCCATCAGTCTGAACTGCTGTGTGCGAATCGCTGAAACAAACAGCAGCTGGTGAAGAGGAGGGTAAAGTACCAAGAGTGGTGACGTAAATCTGCACATCTGATAAGACCCACCTTTATTAGGACATACATGTTTGTGAATTTATTTTCTAATTTGGACAATTTTGACATTATATAGCAGTCATTTACAGAGTATGACAAAAAAAAAAAAAAATTAAAATCCCGATTGCAGAATTTAGTTTAAACTGTATTCTGCAGATGTTTTCCAGCTGTTCTGTAACTTTATTTTAGATTTCAGTTCAGGGTCTTCTTTTGGAATAATCCTGTAAAATCCTTATCTTTATTGCCATCACAAACAAAATGGCATTTTCACAAAACTAAACAAAATTCAGTAGGCATAAATGACAGACTATTAAATTTAAGTTTTACCAGGAAAAAAAAAACTAATTAGAACAACTGATACATTTTTAATGCATTTTAACTGATTATAGGAAAAATTTCTCCAGTTTGCTGCTCCCAACGGGAATCAACTGCAGAAAGACTAAATAAGACACACGAGGTATTTCTTGTAATTATTTTGACTAATATCAGGTAGTATTTTACTCCTAATTTTACTTCTGTGGATGTGTTATTTTTCTTCCTTTGTTGCCCATATTTGTATTTTAATCGGGTTTAGATATCTGTGGTTTTCTGATTTGTAATTGTTGATCTGCTGCTGCTGTTCTTGGTCAGGTTTCTCTAGAGAAAGAGAGTTAGCTGGTTTAATAAAGGCTGCTAACAATTAGATCAAATGACACAAATGATGTTAACTTTTAGTCACTAGTGACCTAAAGAGATTGATTGATTGATTATTCACTGAAAGGTTGACAGTGACATCCAGTGCACAAAATGAGCTATTGCACAACTTCAGAAACACCAAAATGTTTTATTTTTTTAAAATAATTAATATCTTTATGGACTGAGGTTTAAATGTTTGTGGCTGAAATGAAGAAATGTGGGTTTTATTTGTAGAGAACAGCCATACAAAAGACCATTTAGCACATATGAAGAAAACAAGGGCTTAAGAGAATTACTCTATTATTGATTAGATGAAACTGAAGTGGTAAAATTTGAATCTGCAGAGTCCCAGGAGATGATGCGGACATATTTATTTTGTGAGATCCTAATAAAATAAACATAAAATTGCACCAGGATGTAGAAATACAATACATTGCTTGGTTCCTTCAGTCCAAATTGAATTTGCTGCAGTTGAAGTCACACAAAATGTCAAAATCTTCCTTCAAAAAAGGTAGAAATTGCCTGTATTTTGAAAACATTAATTTTGATTTCGCAAAATACTTCTGAAAATAATAAAGTTTACATGCTAATGCGAAAGGGTTTCTCTGTTGATTTAATCCTGCAAAATGATATTAGCTGATTCTGTAGTTGATCAGAAATTAGACAGAAAAAATTTGGGCATGCAAAGCCAGTTTCTGAATAGAAATGTATATTTAGGTAGAAATAAAACACCTTGAAAGATCATATTTTATTGACTAAACAAATCATTTTCACACTTGAAACATACACAAATAAAATTTAAGTGATTAAATAAGCAATGTATATTTCTAAGCAGAAAAAATATGCACATTATAGTTTTTCTAAAATGGTTAACAGATCATTTGAACTAAACAAAGAAGATTTTATTACCAATAATTTTTTTTTTGCATGTAGTGAAATAAGATTTCAACAAGAAGACCAAAAATCCATAGACATTTTGAAAATTATCTTGAAGCTATAGAAAGAAAAAACCAACAAGGTGAAAGATGTTTCCTCATTTAACTGTTATTTTAATTATTTTATGAAAGTAATTGTTCTATTATCTCAGGGATATGCAGACAGCCGATATCGTATGGGCTGATAGAAGGGTTGTTGACCTCGATGCCGATAAGATGGTGCTGATTGTTGAGCGACATTCCTTTGATTACCAGCGTAAAGATGGATCCATTCAGGGTCGGGCGAGTAGAATCTATCGCTCTCATAACATTCAGAGCCATCACTTTCAGAGTCGGACGTTTCAGAATCGGAGCTTTGAGGCGAAGGTAACTGTTTGGTGGAGAGCAGAGTCATAGTTTGGGTTTGCAGAGTTAAAATGAGCACATAGATAAAGTTTCTTACATGCAGAAGCCTCCTTAAAAGGGCAAATTACATTTCTTTTTCTGTTTTTCACCTGATTACATGACAGTTATTGAGCCAGATTCACACTACAGTGTTTCTAATGTTTCTGAAGATACTTGGCTGTCTAACACTAATCCTTTATAGATGTATTGTTTTGGTCTGAATCTTGCTTAACTTGAGAATATAAACATGGAAATATTACATAAGTCAAAATGTATTTAGTTAAAATGAAAATACAAATCTGTTAAGGGTATTGGTTTTAACAATACTGAAGCTCAAATTGTTAGCAGGTGTCAATGTTAAAGCATTGTCTCTTTATTGGGCTCCTGGGTGTTACCTGCTAATTACGCTTCCTTTTTGCAGCTGGAGTCTTCCTTCCACCGTAGTTTGCTGGTTTGGCTCTCTTCTGAGGTCCTGTTGGTTTGAATTAAATGAAAGGAGACCAAAATTGAAAACAATTCCTGCACATCTACATCACTTTCAGTTTTAATTTTGAGACAAATAATTCAACTTAGCTCAAAATTGCGTCCTCATTGAAATTATTCATGTCTAATAGAATTTAGGTGTCTATTTGCAGTCTGTTTGTTCAAAGAGACTGTTTGAAAACTGGTGTCAGTGTTTTTGTCTTTCAATCAAATCAATTCGGTTTGATTCCTACACAGTTTTTTGTCGGATTGCCTTCTTACTTTGTTTTACTAAAGATCTGTTAGCCTTCAGCTCCACCTCCACAGGATAATGGTCACTGATGCGAAGAGCCTTAGAAATAGAAAGAGAACATTGTTCTGATGTGTAAAAGATCATTTCTGTCAGATAGAGGACATTCACAGTTGTGCACATGAAATTTACGTTTTTAATACTTAGCCGGAACTTTCTTTTGAAGTTGAAAGATTTGGCTGAGTTGGGGACGATGGCATTTTCCATTTTCTTTGTGTAAACCACAATCCTGTCGGAACAAGAGAGATCACAGTGTTTTGACAGAATGTGTTTCTTAAAACATCCAATTCCTCCCAATTAATAAATATTAATAAATTTGACTATATGTCTGTCCTTATATTATAACCATGAAGATTCACATAATAAATTCAAAGAATGTATTAAGGTAACTCCTCACCTGTCATAGGCGTGATCGTTAAAGGGACTAGTTGTTGTGTCAACCTCGTCGCCAATTATCCAATAAAATGGAGGATGGGAGATGCGTATCGCTTTTTTCTTCTTCTTTGAAAGATATGAACCAGCTGCATTGAAGTCTCCCAGAATCATAATATTCTAAAAAGGATATAAAATTTTGGGAAAAGTCATTACTTATCAAAGTGTGCTTGACTTTCATGTGGCTTCAGTGAGAGATTATGGATTTATGTTAATTCTTTAGTATCGTTCTTGTCAGTAGTCTGTTTTTGTTACTCTAGTTAATGTTCATTATGTGGAATTTTGTGGCTATTATGCTGAGTAGCCATGAGTGAGAGAAGTACCGGTAGTCATAAATATTTGGGGGGTTGAAGTTTGTGCTAATCTTTGATAAAACCTGAAAAATGTCATCCGATAGTCAGTCGGTTCTTAAGCCACAAAGTGACCTGAGCTTTCTATTGGTGGCTGTGTGATGAAATGCAAAGAGGATTGCATCGAGCTGTATGGTGCAACATTGTCATCAAATGCATTTTTGACACTTGTCTTTTCTTTTGCAATGTGAAGTTCATTAGTACTGAACGAAAGGAAGCATTTATGTGAAGAAAACCTCATTAGTTTTATATTCTCAACTTTGACTTGAACACCAATCTGTAATCCTTACCGGGTTTTTCCATTTCTTTCTCATGATTTTGACCACATCACAGAGCTCATCCAGTTCTTTCTCAGCATCATTTGGTTGGGTGTGGACCGGGATCAGGACCAGATCTTTGATAACTGTTGTGGGACGGAAGTGAGAAATCCTGAACTCAAAAGATTACACCATAGATTTGACATTTTATAATACTAAAAACTTTTTTAAAGTCCCAACCAGCATATGATGCAGATGTGATTATGTGGATTTGTTTTTAATTCCTTTGCAGCAACCAATTTGTTTTATGAATAATGAAATTATCGCTAATATTTTAAGATAAAATGAAAGTATTAAAGATGCAAGAAACTTATTGTATATAACAATTATAAGAGTAGTAATATGTATGTAAAAGCAACTGCTTGTTTTCCATCTTTGGAAAACAAGGAAGAAGGCTGCACCCTGTTAAAAACTAAAAAATATCTGTCAGCAAATTCTAGTTTTTGTTCTTCACTCAGCAGTAGTAAATGCTGAACATAAGCTACAAGTTTGTCCATTACAGCTAATGGTGTAATAAAATCATTAGATGAACAGCGCAGACCAGTGGCAGGACAGTAGAAGCGCAGAATCAGAGGCTCTCTGGCAAAAGCGTCTTCATCCCCCGGCTGATTGTCTTTATACTGATGCAGAGCCGTCAGTTCGACCTCATTCTTTCTGAAACACACAAAGAGCCGCAGAGAGAAGTAAGATGAATGTAGTGTAAGACGAAGACACTTTCATGATAGTTTTTCAACTCTTTTATGTTATTGACAGTCTCTGAAACATGAAAGATCTCTTCGTTTATGTGACCCACCTATAGAAACAAACAAACTTCTCTTTGTAGGCATTTCTGCCGAGAGCTGAGCTGCAGACCATCTCATATTCATCACCACTGTTGGAAACATACCTGGCATAAAAAACATTTACTTATATTATTATCATCACAATATTATTATATTTTTATGTCTTTGCTGTCATCAGCAGCTTTGACCTTTCATTTTCTTCAAAGTATTTTCTTTTTGGTATTTTCTTCAAATACTTTTCTTGAAAGTATTTGAAGAAAATGAAATCTTAAATCTCTATTTTAAAACACATTTTCATGCATCCATATCTGTCAGATTTCTGCTGTAAACAACCAACATGTTTTGATTTTTGCATTTTGTTTTTATGAGTTACACTTACTTTGTAGAGTTGAGCTTTTCCAGTAACAACTCCATTGCTTTCCCAGTTTTATCCATCACCTCCAGTATGAACACTATGCTGTACTGAGAGATGATCTAGGAGAAATGTATGGCAATTATAGAAATATATTCATTACATTTTTCTTTTTACCATTTCTTTTTATGTGAATTCCTATTTCATTTGTTATAGTTCAATTAAATTCCGTTCAAAAATATAAAGAAAAGCATTTCTTACCTTAATGAGGTATTTGCAAACGTAGGTGTTTTTGACTTTTCGAAGTCCCAGTTTCTTCGCATTGAAGGCGGCAACTTTCATTTTCATCTCATTTATTAAAATACACACACGTGCTTAATAAATAGTCCACATTTTAGATAACTTAAGTTTTAGTGTTTTAATTTATACATGACCTAGCATTTACCAGTTTTCAATATGATTTCACTGTGATGTTAACTAAAGAGTCAGCTAAAACCTCAATTTTTAAAATCTGTTAAAAGTCCAAAAAGTATCAAACTACACAACTTCCTCAGGAAAAGAACCGTATCTGAAAGTTCTTTTTCTAATGCTTAGAAAACGGAATATAACATTCTTCCTAAAATATCAGAGTATTAAACTGAAAATGACTAATAACAGAACAAAGTCTAATGAAAAGTTTAAAAAGAATTATTGTCTAAAATGGACTTGAACAGCAGAATCGGAGGAGGCAGAGGAGGCAAATACAAGATATGAGAACTACTGAAAGTTAAAGAATCACTAAGTTAAAAATAAAATAAAGCTTTTTTACTTTCAAAATCAGACTAAACAAATACTTTCCGTTTGTAAAGTAGTGACAAAATAAGAAATGTGAAGTAAGTAGAACAAAATACTTACAAGTCGAGCAACGGAGATCGAAGTCAGAGAAATTGAAAAAAGAGCGGGAAGGAGCTTTGGTCCGTCAGAGGAAACGACACTGCAGAAGTGGCTCAACAAAACAAGGGTAGGTTTCATGTGGAAGAAATAAAGTGTGCGTGCTTTTGATGGTGTGAGTCACCTCCTGGTTGGATTAGGAAACAGAAAATTCACAATATGTTTGTCCTGCGTAGCAACAAGACCGGAAATTGCCCTCCGATGAGGGCATTGGCAAAACAAAGACTTTTTCAGATGCGTTTCTGTCATGTTAATTTTAACTGTTGATGTGAGGAAAAAAAAAAAACCTGACCTTGAGCATTTTTGTTCATACACAGATGTGATAATTTTACTATTTGAACCGAGTCTGACAAAAATGCCTTCAGACGAGAGTTGTTTGGTCACTAAAAATACAGTAAATATTTGTTTGTTTACATTTTATTTCCTTCTTGACAGAGAAAAGGAACCCATTCAATTCTTTCACAGTAGCTGCATTTTTATTCACTGTATAAATGCGCAATTTAACATTTCAAAAATGAATGTGCTTAATTGAAACACATCCATTTTTTTGGGGGAAAAAACCTCAGTTGTCAATAAAAAGTTCTTGCAATCGGTTGAAGTGTTTTTTTTTTTTTTTGGCCATATTAAAATTAGTTTATTTCACAAGAGTCACATGATCAACAACTGGTTGCTGCCACTGGCATAAAGAAGAAAACGTGTGTTTTTGTGGCATGTTTTTAATGGATTTTCACATTAAACTTATTTATGTGGAATTTTAATTGCGTTTTTTACATAATGAAAACATTGCAATTGTGAAATTGTTCTTTTTTTTTACATTAATAAAATATTGACAAGGTTTTCCACACATTTGTAATGGAACGGCAGAAAGTACCATCCAGGAAGCATCAATCAGAAGTGCTTAAGTAATGTAGAAAAAATATTTGTTAATAATTAGGCTGATTTTTTTGCTGTTTTGCAGTGAGGCATTTTTTTATCAGAAGGAAATGGATGTGTGCAAAGTGCTGGCCTGAAAAGTCAGAAGGGAACTCAGGAAATGGAAAGATGATGTGCTTTAAGTTGCTAAGCTGATGCAAAACAAGTATTCAGGATTAAAGGAAACTTTCATATCAGTTCACTGTGAGAGTCGAGGGTTTTCTGGGAGGTTTGTGTGAATATGGAACTGGTGTTTAAAATGTAAAAAACAAAAAAAGAAGAAGCAGGTGTACAGTTGGGCTAAACAAAGCCAACTGTGATGATTTGATTTTGTAATTTGCCACTTTTTCACTCCAATACATTAGAAGGCAATTCACAGTTCAACATTTCTTTTGATAAAATAACATCTTATTGTATGAGACTAATTTACTGATGCCTTTGATGCATTGTGTGTAATGAGAGATTTATTTACCACCTGGCAGCAACAGTTGCGCAACAGTCTGTGAAACAGAAAGGCGTATTTAATTTTAGAGTGCATGAAAGGTAGAGTGTAAATAAACTACACATTGACTCCTGCAATAAGTTTTTTTACCCTGAGCGGTTGTTGTTTGTTAGTAGGACAAAATATAAATAAATAAATAAATAAAATAAATAAAATAAGTCAGAGTGGTATTGATACATTTGCAGGGCACAGTTTTTTTTACCCTTGTGAGGTACATAAATTTGCTTGCCGTTATTTATATAAAAAATGAACCTTCACACAAAGTTTATTGTGATATTTTTATATTTGTTGAGAATGAGATGAATGCAATAGTTTTTTCTTTAGATGCCAACATAATCAACCTCAGTCTTGCACCTTAGCATTCTGCAACACCTAAGCCATGATCTGGGGGGGAAAGAGAGAAGAAGTAAAAGCTCATTAGAAGTCCATTCTTTTTGAGTCATTAATAATTATGGTAAAAACTCTGAGAGTTTGGATGGTTAATGCTTACTGAGTCCATCCAGCTGATGTAAGCAGACACGCGGGTGAAGACGGTGGGTTTCTGATAGTAGTTGCAGCCCAGACCAGAAACAAAGCTGGCAATGCCGTGCACGTAGTACTTGCCGCTGACCTGGCAGTTCAGAGGGCCTCCAGAGTCACCCTGAGAGTTAAAAAACAGGAAGGTTGAAGTTTGATGGAGTTTTTACCCCCCAGAACCTCAGAAATTCAAAAAACTTGTCCATGTAAAGCTAAAAGAAATGATCAGGAAATAATTCCAGTGTTTCTGAGCTGTGACAAATATGACAGCTGCCATCTAGTGGTCATTTTTGGAATTCCCAAGGCGTCCATTGTAAATCTTAAGCTTTAGTTTATTATTGGCATGCCAGAATTTTACTGTCCTGGAAAACTGCTCTCCCCCAGCAACTGGCTGAAAGATGGCATGTCTTTTTTTGAAAAACTTGATTAAAAAAAAATAGCATTTTATCAATTACTTTGGGTCCTTGAAGACAATTATACTGTACTGCATATAAGCATAATTTCTGTTATTAACATTTGAAATGAAATGACAAACTTTAAACATTCCTGAATGTAAAAACCTGGAAAACTGAGCATCTTCAGGCGTTTTGAGACAATGAAACATTTTTCTAAACATTCTTTAAAAATGTGCATATTTATACTTCATAGTGATTAATCACAGCCCCAGAGTCTGATTAAATTATTTTTTAAATTGATTGACAGTACTTAAAAAGAAAAAGAAAGTACCACTTGTATCTATTTAGCGTGGTATGTCAAACTACTTGTCAAAATGTATTAATAAAAATTAGAGAAAAAAAGGAAACAGGCTCACATTGCATCCAGCCTCATCGTAACCTCCAGCGCACACCATGGTGGTCTTCACGGTGCTGCCCCACCAGCCGCTGCTGGAGCAGGTACTGTGGCCCACCACAGGGAGGTAGGCCTCCTTCAGCTGAGCAGACAGGCTTCCACCAGCTGATGAAAAGGAACATGATGCATTTAGCTTTAGCATAAAGAATAGGAAATAATATCAGTGTTGCACTGACTGGAGGTGCGTCCCCATCCGGTGATGTAGCAGAGGTTGTCGTGAGGCAGAATCTGGCCGGAGGGGGGCAGAGCGGCGAGCTGAACGTAGCTATTCAGGGAGGCGCTGGAGGACAGTCTCAACAGAGCAATGTCATATCTGAAATACAGAAACCAAAACTAATACATGTTTGATTGAAGCTTAGACTAAAAGAGTCGCGTTCAGCCCCCAGTGAGCTCAGAATCAAACGTTTCATTATGTTTCGAAGACGTTTCTCACCCATTAGCCACTCTGCTTGAATCCCAGTTGGGGTGGATGTATTTCTGACTCACACTGATGACCTGCTCAGTTCCACCGTTGGCATACAGGTCATGCTCACCAAGAACCACACGGAAGGTTCTTGCACTACAAAACACAAAAACAGTATAAAGTACTCAGTAAAGCTTTATATTTAGTCATTTTAATTTTTTCCATACACAAGTCAAAAAAGAAAGAACACCTCATTAATTATTTTAGACATTTTCTTATATATAAAGATTTTAAAAAACAATCATTTTAATTCCTCAAAACAATTATTCCGTACCTGAATCTAACTAGTAAAATTGTTTTTAATATTTGTTCTGACCTTTAGCTTCTTTTAAATAAATCCTTCTCTCCTAGTTTTTATTTTTTGAAACCACTTTTGTATGCAACCTGGAAGTTTATTAAACATAGTCAGCTGTATCTTTCAATTAACTTAAGCTTTAATTGTTATTTACTGTTTCTGAAGTTGTGATAAATGTAATCAAGATGGAGACATTTTAAGACAACTAAATAAATTAAAATTTTTTATACAAACTGGATTGTATAAGAGGAACTAAAAGCACAAAACCATGAACATGTTCATAGTAAGGCTCTTTATGCTACCTGTCCACACAGTGAGCAGCGGTCATCACCCAGCCAGTACGGATCAGGCTTCCTCCACAGGTATGGTACCAGGAGCTGCCAGACTGGTACTGAAGAGAGATCTGAAAAGAGAATGATCGCAGGCTTTAATGCTTCAAGTTTTTGTAATTCATGTAAAACATTTGAGTTCCATCATAAATTAGACACATTAAATATGAATCGTATCGTCAGCAGTGTGTTACCTGCCAGGGCCAGGAGTTAGGTTTGGCAACCGATCCTCCAACAACTCTCTGCAAGCCGTCTTCCAGGTACTTGGGCTCATGCTCCAGCTCAGCCACCGCTGGATCAAAACACAACAATAACAACTTGATTTTGACATAGAAATTCTTCCATAATTTCAAAAACAGTAAGAAGTAGCCAGAAATTATGTAGCCGGTAAATAGAAGTTACTGCTTACTTAAAGTTGCAGATCATTTTATTAGTTTTGCTCATACAGACAGTATGTAATTGAGCAAAACTAATACACTTATCTGCAACAAACTGGAGTAGTTTATTTTTTTTCAGCATATTTGCTTCTGTGTTCTTACCCAAGGCAGCGAGACAAGTCAACACCAGAATCCTGAGCATGTTTGTGTCAAGTCAGAACAATTCTGCAAGGAGCAAATACGTCTGTCGTCTTTTATACACAAGCCAGACCTTGACCCGGAGTGGAAAGTCATGTCCATGAATGCACCTGTGGTTTGTCTCACACACAGTTTCATGTAGACCAGTGGCATATGCCTCTTGATGACGTCAGTGATGGAAAATAACAGAAAAAGTTGCAGCCACTTTTCTATAATTACAGAAACGCTAAGCTTATGTATATTTCTAAATATATGTATTCTTTTAGTGTAAGGTAGATGTGTCAGTGTGTTTGTCATGGTTTCCGATTAAAACTGTCACGTAGGTGTGTTTCACTTCTTGGAAATATGTCCTTCTTGTGTTTATTTTTGACCAATTATTGCACAAATATACTGAAGAAATAGCAACTGTGACTGTGCATTTATTCACTTTGCATGTGTGAACAAAAATAATTTAAGATTCAAATAGCATACAAGTTTGTGATTAGATGCTTAGTGATACAAAAGTGTACAACATTTTGCAGGATCAAGTTTCACGATGTCAAAGGTTAGTTAGTTCAATACTGACAAAATAAACAAGAAATGTAACATGTGGACCTCCAGAACTGAAAACTAAATGTATTGATTTTATTTGTTTTACAGTTGAATAATCAGTTCATTTCAAATGACTAAAAATGACTAATTAATAAATTACTAAATTACACTCTCTGGATGTTTGCTTATTAATGTAGCAATGTTAAATTCCAACACTAGAGGGCAGTAAAGACTAACAAGTTTAACGGAAAAGCTTCTAAATGTCCTGCCAGAAACACACACCTCGTA